TTAGTAAGTTAAATAAACTTTAATTAAATTATTTTTTTTAGTTATTTGATATAATTAATTATATAATTTATATTTAGGTACCAACTATAGCTGATGAGTCTGATAATGTTAAAACTTATAATTTTTTTACAAAAAATTTGTATATAAATGAGATTAGATATTCTTCAATACTAATTAAATATCCTTCTACTTCTTTAGAAGGTATTGCAATTGTATATAATATTTCTAATTGGAATAATTATAATGTGGCTTTTTCAGATATAAAAATAAATTTTAAAAATTTATTATTTTTTATAAATTAATATCTAATTAAATTTTAATTAACTAGATTCAATATAATATGGGCGATAGTAGTAAAAATAAAATTATTAAATATGAATATCTGGGATGTAAAGTAAATAAATTAGTTAGAATTTGTACTAGTACCAAAGTATACAAATTTGTTTCAAGTAAATTAAAAGAAATACAACATACTGAAGTTAATGAAAATTTAGATTTTTATAAATTTAATCAACTTGTTGATTTACAAACTTCAAAAAAAGCCAAAACACATGTGTAAGAAATTTTATTTATTAATTTTATAATTTTAAACTAAATTAAATAATTTTATTTTTAATATTTATTTATTTTATATAGAAAATATTTAGCATATATAAACTTTAAATATCCTTATAATTTGTCAACTTGTATAGGAAAAGCTCAAGTTTGCTACTATAGAAAAAAATCTGATAATGATATTTTATCATATTTTATTGGATATTCATTTTGGTCTGCTAGAAAAAAACATATATATCAATGAATAGATGAAAATGAAATTGATATTATATTATTAGAAAAATTATTTAAAGAAAAGCCTGTAAGTAAAAAAATTAATTATTTAATTTTAATTTTATAATTTATTTATAATTTATAATTTTATATTTTTAGATTAATTTAAATAAATCAGTAAAAAATTGTTATACAGTATTATTTATAAGTTCTCATAAAAAAGAATGTTGTATGTAATTAATAATTAATTATAGTAAATTATTATATTAATTTATTATTAACTTAAATATAATTTATATATTAGCATTTTTTTCATTTATCAGATGAAGGTCTTAAAAGAAAAGAAAAAATTATCAAATTAAATTGTGATATTAAATTTATTAAACTTATTCTATTGGATTTAAAAATAACTCTATTTGTTGTTTTAGTATGCAAAGGAGTTCATACTCATCTAGTATCACCACTAATTAATATTCTAACTGAAATTCAAGCAAACTTAGAACATATAATTAATGAAGCTTCTCAAATATTTGAATGAGTTACACCTAAAAAAATTCTATCTAGTAATTTATTAAAAGCATATTTTAGTAAAAATCTTTATACTGAAATATATACTTCTCTTAATAATTTGGACAAGTTAAGATATCTTGTAAGCAAAGTACAACAAAAACAATATCTTTATAAACAGGATTTATTAGGAATTGCTACTGAATTTTGGAATGGAAATAAAGAATTTAATAGATATTTACAAGAAATTGGTTTGTTTATTTTAATAAAATTTTATTTTTATTTATTTATTTATTATATATATTAATATATAATAAATAATTAATTTTATTTATATTTATTAATTTTATAGGAACATTTAATGATAGAAGTATAATAATAATTTGTATAAATGCTGAACAAGCTATTGCATAGAAAATTTCAGAATATTTTCAAATTGATATAGCTATTAAAAGAGTATATAGAGATATAAATGAATTTGAAATTAATAATTATTGTGAAAATTATAATCAAAGTAAGAAATTTTTATATTATTTTAATATTTAAATAATAATTAATAATTAATATTTTATTAGGTATTACTTATGCATGAGTTTATACTAATAGATCATTAGCTAAAATATATTATCAAATTTTTACTAGTTTATAAAATTATGTTAAAACTTTAACTAATGAATCGCTAGCATTTTTTTATATTCATAATAAAGGATGAAAATGTATACTTAGAGATTTAGATTAAAGCTAAGCAAAAGGATTAGAGTTAGCATTAGCAGATATTGAACCAAAATATACTTGGGATGAATATTTAACTTATATATTTAAAAGTTGTCAAGTATATTTTTATAGGTAAAATCTAATTTATTATTATTATAATATAAAAAATATTATATTTAAATTAATTTATTAATTAAGGTCTGGCGATCTTAGTGTAGTGGTTAGGTTGCCAGACCGCCATGCAAGAGGTCTGGGGTTCAAATCCCACTG